TCTCGGCTTGAGGTTTTTCCATCTTTCAGCCCCCATTCTTAGCTTGGGGGCTTTCCATGTAATTTCCAGCACTTTTCCCTTGTGTGGCGCGGCTTGTTACAGTGGGTACACCAAACCTCCTCATGTTTTTTCTCCATACTGGGAACCCAGTTTTTCCTCTGGTTAGCAACCATGATTGTTCCTCCTTTAGCTATCATTGCCGAGCTTTCAGTGGTTGAGGTTTCCAACATCAGCCCTCTCCTGCTTTCTTCACTTCGGATAATGGCTACCACTTAATTAAGCCCTGGGACTTTCTCTTTTCCCAGGATTTGGATTCGGACCTGGTCATATTCAGGATTTAGGCCTACCAAAAAATCATAGACCCTATCTTGTTCAATATATTCTTTTAGAATTGCTGAAGTTGATTGGCATATTCTGTAACTGATCTTTTCCTTGTTTGGCAGCCACGGTTTTCACCTTTACATCATAAATTTGAGCAGCATCCTTGGCCTTAGAGTAAGTTTGTTCGACTGCCTCCCAGATTTCTTTTGCTGATTTAAGGAACATGCAGGTATCACTGATTTCTGGGACCATCGAATTCCACAGCCACGCCATGATCATGGAGTCTTCTTCATCCCATGATTTGAATTTGGGATCTGTTTCATCAGGTACATTACCAGTCAGGTGACTGATCTTTCCTTTTCCTTTCAAGATGGTCCTAATGAGTTGAGACCATTTGAGGTAATTCTTCCCATTTAACCGATAAGCGGAATGAACATTCTGCAATTCTCCAGCAGTCTGGGGTCTGTCCCCAGTTTCCAGATTCACGACCTCAGCCATAACCAGGTATAATCAAGGTAGAGAGGGTTGCGCTGCAATGAAGGCTGCAACAAGGCTTAAAGGTAGCGCAACAATGAAGACTGCAACTTAGGTTAAAGATAGCGCAGCAATGAAGGCTGCGACTTAGGTTTAAAGGCACGGTCAGAGACTCCCAAGGATCGGGAGCTCTGATACCATCTCAAATTTAGAAGAAATAATATTCTCTCTCTGAACCAATCATCAATGTGTCTTGACTCTTGAGTATATGTTGTATATGTTTCTTCCTTTTTTTTAATCTATTTCAGCATGTGAAATTTGATATATTCCTTCTGTTTATTGCTGTCTTCCTCCAAAGCAACAATTAACTGTCATTTCCATAGGCCTTTCTCAAGTAATTATACTCCAACAACAGTTGAGCAGTATGCGGCAAATGTCATTGAACTAAAAAGGGCGAAGGTGAGTATTATGTAAGGATGAGAAAACATGATTACCATTTTAATGATTTTGAAGAACAGTATATTGCCTTCCTCATGTTTTATCTCAATATACTCTTTTGCTGATTACTATTGGAAGTCCCAACGATGTTGTGGTGGAAGTTAATTGGGTACAAGATACATTTTGTATACTCATAATCCTGATGTTTGCTACATAGGTAACTAGGAAATTTCTCATATTGCGTGAGATACCCGAGGATGGATTATCAGATTTTTTGTCAAAACTGGATTTTTTGGCTGCATGTGACGTAGCTGTTTTCGTGTATGACAGGTGTGGTGCATTATTGATTCATTTTAACTAGCATTTTTATTTTGAGTGTGGAAACATGTGATATAAAATCTTCTAGAACTGTTTATGATCACTTAAAATGCCTGCCTTACATGCAATGTTTCCCTAAGAGCTGGTTAATTATCTATGCTCATGGAATTAAAATGAAGTTAATTTGGCTTGCTTTTGTTGGTTCCTGGTTTTATGTAGCAATTGAATTTCATCACAGGCAATGTATATATAATATGAATTTATCCTGGCAATTGAGGACATAGTTTTATGCCAAAGCCAGAGTTAGCAATATAGTGGCTAGAATTACGGGATTGGGGGGAGAGGGGTAATTACATGCATTATTTTATATTGCACTGGTTGTTTTAAGGTGTATCTTCTCTAGAAAAGTTATTCTTACATTAGAAAAGTGAATCTGATGTGCTAGATTAGCATATTTTGAACTAGCACTTGCATTTTTTCTTCTTTTTCAGCTTCCTAAGAAAACTTTTGAAAAAAAAAAACAATTATTTTCCCATGAATAAACTCAACCAACATACATCGGACTATTTGAATAAGAAGAAAATAAGAAGAAAAAATGAAATAAATTTTCTTAAAAATTAAAATTAGTTTATGCATAAGTTAATTTATAAAAGTTATCTCGTATTAACTTCTTTTAAAAAATTAACTTTTAACTTATGGAGAAATTTATTTTTATTTTTCTTTCTTATTTTCTTCTCCTAAAAGTGTTGATAGAGAAATTTATCCAACCATATCCATTATATCAATTTCGATGGATGAAATAACTTTCCTCAGTCGAACTGTTGAAGCAGTATGTCTTAATTCTTCGTTGCATATTTGTAGAACAACTTTTTTCTGCATATCATTTCTGCGTCAATATTTAAAGTATTGGTTAAAAAATATTTTTAGTCCTTATAATTTTACTTATTTTACCTTTTAGTCTTAATTGTTTAAAATAAATAATTTTAGTCTGTATGATTTCTTTTTTTAATTTTATTTAGTTTTTATCATTAATTTTTTTACAATGTTGTTTTCGTGATGTGAACTTATTAAATTTATGTAACTATGATATATTTAATTTTTTGGATGGCAATATGTCCAAAAAAAATCAAATACATCATCATCACCTGAATTTAATAGACTCACGTCACTCATTAAAAAACAATGCTATAAAGAAATTAACTGTAGAAACAAAATAATTAAAAAATTTAAGTATAAAGACTTAAAAAATCTATTTTAAATTATAATGACTAATCAGTAAAATCAGTGAAAATATAAAGACTAAAAAGATATTTTAACCTAAAATATTTGTTCCCTGTTTTCCAGTTCAGATGAATACTCATGGAAGAAATCCAAAGATTTGCTTGAGAAAGTTGTTAGACAAGGAGAAATAACTGGTTATACAACCCCTTGCCTCCTTATTGCTGCTAAGGATGATTTAACTCCATTCCCAAGGGCAATACTAGATTCAGTTAAGGTAACATGTTTTCAGCTCATCATTACCATATAGTCGCCAACATGATGATTATCTCTAATTTCTAGCTATACCTATGTCAGTTCCGTATTTTATCATCTCTATCTTTATTTGTAGGTTACTCAGGAACTGGGAATAGAGGCACCTATTCACGTAAGTATGAAGTTAGGTGATACAAGTAATGTGTATAATAAAATTGTTAATGCTGCCGAACAGCCTCATTTGAGCATTCCAGAATCTGAGGTTGCACGGAAAAAGAAGCAGCACAATCAGCTTCTTCATCACTCTCTTATTTTTGCCTTAGGTGCGTTTATTTTTATCTACCTCCCACCAGAGCTTGACAGCTTGGTGCATACACTACAAACTTGCACAATTTCCATTTTTTCGTTGTGAATGCTACTTTTAAATAACTTTCTATTTTGAATTTACAGTTGGGGCTGCTATGGCAGTTGCCGGTTTGACAGCTTATCGTGTGCGTTCAGTGAGGAAGAATACTACTGCTTAGCAATCAAGTAACCGTTATACTATTGCTTCTAACTTATTGACAGTTGACTTCAACCCCAGTATTTTGCCTTCCAACCTTGTGCTACCTAAAGTAAAAATATTTGATGTATAGTAATTACTGATCACATTCATTCCTTGTTGTAAGAATGCTTTAACATGCTTCTTTAATACTACTTCTAGTCTTAGTTATAAGTAATAAATTAAAATTTTCTTTGATCTTAATTATAAATAATAATTATTAGTTTTAAAAATTATTTAGAATTAAATTTATTTTATATATTTTATTCATTGTTATTTCTTATACATTTACTTATAATTAATATTAAATATAACAATCATTTAAAATAAAAATCAAATTTATAGAATAATTGTTTAAAAATAATTGTATTAATTATTTTTATTGGGCGATTTGTCCTGTTTTATTTATAATCAGGATAGAAGGTCGTATGATTTATATTTTTATTTTGGATCTCAATTGGGTTTTCATAGCGGACACTTGAAGCGGATCAAATCATTTCAACGTGTTATGGGTAGTCTTTTTAATTTTTTTTGTATCATTTGTTTAAATTCACCTTTATTCTTCCTCCGGACCCTGTTATTTCTTTATTTTCATTCTTTTTCCTCCCAACGCCACCATTGGAAAATCAATGTTTGGAGGAAGACGAGGAATCGTGAAAGCTAGCTCCAGGTATTTAACAACTTTTCTCTCACAAATAGTTTGTGTGAGATGTTTTCGTATAAGCTCTGCTATTATTTATTTATTTTCCATATATTAATGAATTTCTTTTCTGCTTCCCGCAAAAGGTTATTAGACGGCTTTTTATTTACCCCACAATTTATCCGGTATCCCCAAACCCTTGGGGGTGTGAGGGTGTGACTGAACACTAAGTTGATTTTATGGAATAATTCTGATCTTTCATCGAGTTCCAGTGTCGTCTCTGAAATTTGTTGGACCTCCCCGCGTTAAATATCGTGTGATGCAAACGGTGGGTCTTTCTGTTCCTCTGACCATATTTTCCAAACCAACCAAATTGATCTTGTACCATGTGTTACATAATACGTTTGTTTTTTAAATGATTTATATCATCAATATGTCCATTCCAAATTTTATTCCAATCAAATAATTTATAGCTGTCAATATATCTTGTGGTAACATAAATGTATTGTTTTGAAGTATATTAAGCTTTTTGGTTTATATTTCCTTGATCAATCTTTCTTAATTCACATCTTTGTTGATTCTTTTTTAATTCTTTACATAAAGATTCAAAAGATACTGGATCTCTTCTAACACAAGTAAATTATCGATAAAACTCCAAAATTACATTTTCTTTTGATCCGATTACTGTTTTCCTTATCATTTAAGAAAAACAAAAATTTCAGGATAACAAATATGATATAATAGTCTGATAAATTTAGTTGAGATGAGGTATACCATATAATCTTAATTATGTCTCTGATTACAAATCATTAAATCTTATAGTCTTTCACCTAAATCACATTTTTTAAGGAAAATTAGTTAATTAAATTAAAAATATTAATTTTTATTTTATCAATAATTTAAACTACTTTTTAATGATTGTCTTTAACATATTTTATATTAACCTTTTTTCCTTTCTATTTAGTCATTTTTTTACCTAATTAATGTTTGAAAAAGAGATATGTCTAATTATTTTCTACAATTCTAATAAGAGAGAAAAATTTTATCGTATTTAGTAATTATGTAAGAATAGTTTAAAGAAAATGTAATTAAAACAACTAACAATTAGAAAAAAAATGTTATAAAAGGATACAAGAAAATATGTCTTAATAAATGCCTGATGATATAAACATAGAGAAGATATCTCACGGTTCTCACACGAATAAATTGAGAATTACATCTAAATTATATAATCATATAAAGATTAGAAGTTATTTAATAATTAATTGTTAAATATCATGTTTAAAATAATTTATAATTAGTTTACTATATATCTTTTATACTGAACCCATGATTCTAAAAAGAGCCTTAAGAAAGGTAATAAGCTTTGTAAAATGTAAAATCTTCATTTCTCAGAATTTGCCAAGCTAAAATCTTTGCATTGAGGGATAATTTTTTTTATTTTTTTGCATTAACTATTGGGTAGATGACATAAGTATAAGGAGGACAATCATTTTTCAATGAGGTATGTGATTACACTAATTTTTAAGGACTTGCCTTATCTATAGTACCCGTGCAAAGTTCCTCGGGATACAAATTTAAGTAAGTGATGACACTAACCTCTTAAAATAGTAGGTTATGTATTTAATTCAACCCTACAAAATCAACTTATAATGTGAGAATTGTCTCTCACCTATATATTATTTTATTTTATCTCTTGTTAATATGGAACTTGAATTTTTATCAATGCATTCCCTCACGTCCAATATTATTAGGCTTTGATACATGAATAAATAGTGGCGACTCTTTTTAATGATTTAAGATAAGAAAAATATATATTTTTTTTAATACGCAGTCTCAGATCCAATACTATTAGACTTGTGCGCGTATCAATGGTGGGTGATCCAAACAATGAAAACATGTTCATGAGATCCATTCTATGCATGCAAGTTCACCACCTCTTGTTTGTCTCTTTTAAAAAATAAAATATACTTTAATATATAAACTCTTATGTTACTAAATTTAAGTAATGTGAGATTTTTTTTAAATATGCAAGATGTGTGTGCATGCACACACATATATATAACACTAACTTGTATGATCGATGTAAATAGATAAATATCAATAAATTAATTGCATTTTTTTTTACTTTAATAAGAGCAATATATGGTTCTATTGGCCATGAAAGTAAACCTAAAGAATTCAAATATGTTACCGAAAGTGAAATTCCCAATGATAGATGGTAAGAATTTTTAGAAAAATGAGAAGAACTAGACAACAGGTTGATGTGGAAAGATAGCAAGTGATATCTAAAATAATTTGAAAGAGTTAAACTACACGATCATATTTTGTCCCCCAAATCCAAAGTGTTCACCCAGTATCGGGTTCAAAATTCTGTGTCCCTGTGATCCTCCCTACAGGCTATAGTGGTGTGTAGCTGACTATAATTTGTCGTTAGTTCTATTTCATTCGAGTTCTCATCTCATAGTTCTATTTCAGAGTACAATATTGGCACTAAATAAAGAATAAAATCTCAAATGCACTGCATTGAAGTATTTAGTTATTATATCATATGAATAATAATAATAAAAATAATAATGCAGTGTATGAAGCTAATATTTTGCGTGCATATCATGTTACAAGTGGGTTCAATCATTCATATTGAAAGGGATATGATGGGATAGCAGTCTCGGCTGCGGAAAACAATCTCTTTCCTGTTTTGCTAAGGTGCTGCAGAAAGACAGTTGATAAAATATAATAATCTGCAAGCAACCCTGGGCAATCGACACGTAACATGTAATTTCATTTCTGTACTAGCTTGTACCAGCAATTTGAATTGAATATGGAATTATAGTGCTACATAACTGAACATCTTTTATAAAGCATGTGGTCCACATGATTCAACACTCTTGCGGAGAATCTAGCAGCGGAAGAGCACCCAACAGACAAGATAAATGGCCTGTGTTGTGTCTATCAGAAAATTGGCGTCTACTTGAAGGGCAACTAGTTTAGGTAGTAACCCTATTGGCTAGGAAAAGTGGGCTTCATTCAATTGTTCTTCTGCATGTTTTGAACTTGAATTGAACACTTGAGTGGAACTTTTAGGTACCCAAATGCTTGTTGACATTGATTCCTTGTTCTCTGCCAATCTAATTAAGCTTTGGCTGATTGATAATTTTAGGGTAGTTTTTAAAATAAATTACTTAAATAAGTTTCTTTTGAAATTATTTATATTTTTAGAGTTCTTTTCTACAGTGTCATTATGCCCATAGCGATACCAGTACTAAGTGTTATTTTTTTTTTAAATCGAAAACGGTTTAAATTTAGTCACGTAAAAGTTGCTACCGGCTATAACGACTAAGGTAATGTTGCTATAGGCTCATAAACTATTTAAAATGGCTCAATTTTATAAAAAAAATATTTTTTAATAGAAAAAATATAATTTAAAATATATTTCTTTTAAGACTTGCTGTTTAAAAGTATATTAATAATTTTTCTATAACAAAATAACATTTTTTAAAATAATATTTATATATTTATTGGAGGCGCTAGGGCTCATAGCGACTTTTTTTTTAAAAAGTTTTTTCAGATATATTTTATATATTATTTTTAAAAATTTTATTTTATAGTTATTTTTTCTGCATTTTTTTCATTTTTCTCGTTCAGTAAATTTGATATTTGATATTTTTCTTTTTTTTTTATCCTTTTCCAGATGTATTTTAATTAATTGAATGAAAAAAATATAAAAAAACGCACAAAAAAAGTATTTAAAAAAAGGCAAAAGAAAAAAAATGAAGTAAAATATAAAAGGAAAAATAACCGGAGGAAAAATATGTATAAAAAAAGGCAGAAGAAAAAAATGAATTATAAATAATTTTTTGTTTAAATGGGAAAATAAATCTAGAGAAAAAATAATTAAAAAACACAAGATTTTTTACAAATAACCCAAAATAAGTGAAGGAAAAAAATGTAGAAACAGAAAAAAAAAAGTGAATTATAAAATATTTTTTTAAAAAAATTAGTAAAATAAATCTGAAAAAAAATGATCCAATGACTCAAAAAAAATAAAATTTTTGAAAAAAAAAAAGTTGAGGTCGTTATGGGCCATAGCGACTTTTTGTTGCTATAACCCATAACGACTCTAGGTAGACCAAAACAAACGGGAAAAAAAAAATTGAAGTCGCTATGGGCCATAACAACCTTGTGTCGCTATGGCCCATAAAGACTCTAGATAGTCCCAAAAAAAATATTTGAGGTTGCTATGAGCTTTTTTCAACATTTAATGTATCATTTTTTTTAATTTTTATTTTATACTTCTTCTTTTTTCATTTTTTTTACATTTTTGTCTTCACTTATTTTTTTCTTTTATATTTTATATATTTTTTAAATCAATTTTATATATTTTTTATGGATTACGAGAGTCGCTAGGGCCCATAGCGACCTTGTGTCACTATGGGTCATAGCGTCCTTTTTTTTTAAAACTTTTTCTACA